TTTTTTATTTCACCACTGAGTATATTGCAAAGAAATGACTTTGTAAGGAACTTAACCCCAGACTCAAGACATACGAGACGTTATTTTTGCTGTTAAATTATAATAAAAATGGAAGTGGAAGAAACAGTTTTATTTTATTCTTATTTCATTGTTCACCAATATAACAAATATAAAATAAGTATAATATACAAATTTATATGTAGAAATATAAAATAGATTTAGAAAAATAGATGTATAAATGACGAAAGGCACAACAGAGCTAAATTAAGTGCGCTTGGGAAAACTGGTAAAGCGAAATTGGGAGAAATAGAGAAATGATATACAGAGCAAAATGCAAAGGAATCGAAGGGAAAGAAGCTAAAATTTATCTTGGATGACGCCATGGGAAAAAAGACCTTGTTTACATTTTACAACACAAAAGACAAGTCCGAATAACATCGACATACAGGTTTCAACAAGTTGATATCGCTTTATTGCCGAAGGACATCACCATTTCCCACGGTTAATCTCGACTGTTTTATAATAAGAATAATACATGCTGGTAAGAACAAGGAAACACGACCTGCTGATTATATATTTTGAACAGCTTGGTTCTCTGGGTCGTGGCTCATTTCCAACCGAAAATAATAGAACTGAGAGAGACATTAAAAATTGTGACTAGAATCAAAGTAAAAGAAAATATACAAAAGAAAAAATAAAATTCGTCCAATATCACGCATTTCCTGCCTTAAAAGCAAGTCATCAATCATAATAACACTCCATATATCCAAACATAACCACATAAATGTCACGACAAAGCCTTGCAAGTTTGGACACACACACCTAAAAAGGACAATTCAGTATTAAAGTGAACCATGCAAATGCACAGGGCAAACATCTGCGGGTAGAGATTTCATCGGTTTCTGATTGTGCATTGCATCACTTAATTCGTCGTGAAATAAAGAGCTTTTGTATGTACCCAGTCAGCCATTGACAAAACATCAGTGGGACTTACGAAATAGAATAAACACTAAATTACTTCAATAACATATTGATCATGCAGACTTCTAATTGTGGAAATATCTCGTGGAAAATGTGCCTAGGACTAATGTTAGTTTATCAAGGCAGTCTCAACAGACATGCTACTAGATCAGTGCAACTTCAGCTCAGGATCAATAGTAGATAGGAAGGTCAGATTTGTTTATGAAAGTAAGAGTGAAGGTCAAGGCAAAATAAACATCCAAACAAATGACCTTATTTTTGGAGTGCAACCACGTGACCTTTTTTGATCTAACGAAAGTTTAATGAGGAATGCTTTGTATACGGTAGACCAACATGGTGGCTATGATGTAACATGAACTGTTTGGCGGTAGATTTGGGTGAGACGTTTTTCCATTATTCATCAGTCACAGTAAAGTCTAGTCACGATTCAATAGTAATTAAATTCAGGTTTACTTGTTAGTACTTTAGATATTGCACGACTCCATATTCCTTTTTTTCTTTCTAGTTTACGTTTTGTTTTTTGGAGACAATCTTATTGTGAAGCAATGTTTAGTGTTGAGTGTATGACATCACAGACACCAATAAAATCTTTTTAAAACATGTAATACTTTCCATTGGGATATAGAGAAAAAACTTTAACCAATGATTATTAGACCCTTAAAGATTATTCCAGTGATTTCAGAAGATTTACGTGCTAGTTCCCCTTTATTTGGTTCAGTGTCCAACTTGCTACTGAAATAACACAAACATATAATCATATAGAAAACCCGACTTTATTAATACCAAACACTAGGCTAACGTGCTTACTGATCGTTTATTGATTAAAAATACATTAATGATAACAAGCAAATTGTATCTAAAGCATCATTGAATACAAACACTAAGGCTACGTTCATAATGTTTGGCAGAGCGGGGGGGTGGGGGAGGGGGCAAATTTTTATCAGAAAAATGGGAGGGATGCACAATTTTTGGAAGAAGCTACAAGCCTTGCTTAGGGGGGATGGTATTTTTTTGCATGACTTTAAGGGGGGTGTTTTAAGTTTTTTTCTGGACATTTCAAATTTTCACCTCCCCCCCCCCCCCCATGCCATACATTATGAACGCAGCCTAAGGAAGACTGATTATATACCAGTATTGTAAAAGTAAAACCTTTTTACTTCCGTCATGCCATTGGCATATGTACGAGTGCTACAATCTACAAAAACCCCCATTATTAGGAGAATTACTAAAGCACTATTCAAAACTTATGTATGAACCTTCTTCAGAAGTGTAGTACTCAGTGCATATGAAATTCATGTTTTAAAAATAGTTATCAAATATTAAAAAATATTTTTACTAAATGCTTAGAGTGATGATCTAACAATGGGCATATGAGCCTTGTATTAACAGCAATATTTTTTAACTCTCTCATCATCAAAGAGGGGGGAAATGGTTAAAGGCCCTGAGAAACGAGCCCAACATGCCAACAATGCGGGGAGGTGACTTTGTATGTTGGATGAATTTGGGTTTGATTTTGAACCAGCATTTGCCCAAAATTACGCCATGCCAAAATTTGTTGGCACTACTTGTGCTCATTTACATTTTTTATACTCGTTTCCATGGTCTCGCGGTCAAATTATTTAGTGGATGTTGGGCTCGTTTGTCATACTGGTTTTTCTGCCAACAAATTTTGATTAATTGTTGAGTCAAATGTTGGGTTGTTAGTCAGGGCCTTTATAATTGACCGGTGTGCTAGTTCTGCAACTCAATAGTTGATATGTGAATGTTATAATTCAAAAAAGATGAATGAGACACTACCATTGATAATTTAGGGCGTACCCAGAAACCAGTAGGGCCCAATTTTGTTATGTAATGCAACCTTTTATCATATTCAATGTCTGAACCATTGACCTACAAGATGGTGCCAATGGGGTAAGTAGTGAATTGGCCAAAAAATAGTAGTTAACTGATCGACATTCGGCCGAAAAATTAGTAGTTAACTGACAATAGGGTACCCGGCCCATTGGCACCCTCCTACAAATGTTATACTAATTCAGTTTAAGCCCTTCTGACTTACGTCTTCTACTGTCGGATCTGACACTCCTTTCTTAAATAGTTTAATCAGCAAATAAAAATCGAAAATACTAGAGCTTGGAAATGCCGGCACGTTGCAATCAATTCAGTTCAATACTTAATTTCCTATCGGAAAGCTTTAGACTAACAAAATTGTGGGTCTTTCTTGGTGTTGCAAGATGTATTGTATTCTGGGTTGCCGGTCTTTGTATTGCAGAGTATTGTTGAGCTCTAAACTCATTGTTCTCGACTATTGTTTTATAGTCTTCATGGCTCCGGTGCACTGCAACACCAAGAAAGAGCCAAAATTGTTCGTTCATCTAACAAATAAATATACCAGTGCTGGCGCAAAAACTACAAAAGTAGGGCCTGACTCAAAATTTGTTTTTAATTTTTACTTTTCGCTGTCTTTTACTCTTCTTCATCCATTTGTTGACTTTTCTTACCGTTTTGGGTGTGAACGAAATGACAAGGTTGAACAATTGTGTTCTTCCTCTCAAGCGGCCTTTTCCTATGGCAGATACGACTCCCACAATTGCATCACCATTAGAAACACCCTTATGCACATAGACTCCTGATCCCGATATACCTTTGGCACCATCACAAAAACTGAGAATACCCCCTTGTATGGCCACTGCTACTGTGCATTGTGATAACCACATAGCATTACGCTTCTTGTCACTGTGGAAACCGGCAAATTGCATGGGAGATCCTCTTTTTAAAGTGGATGGTTTTATAGCCATGATGGGTCTACTGTGAGGGCGTCTTAACCTTAGAAGCGCGTAGTCGTGTTGGACGCGTCGTCTTCTGTTGGTTGACTTCCATTGTTTTGGAAGATGAATTTTGTCAACTTTTATCCATCGAAAAGTTCCATAGCTCCCCAACATTCCTGAAAGGGGATAAAAGGAAAGAGTTAGTACACCTGCACATTTGTCTATATTACTACATGTATCAGAAAATCAAGAAATATTATATCTGATAGCCAAGTACGGCATGCCCTTGAGTTATTTCCCTTTCTGGCTCAATTTATTCTTTTTACGCATCAAATACATAGAAGATATTACATATGGCGGAAATACGTTTTATCTTGGAATGTGGAGGCGATATCTTGCGAGTGAGGGGAGCGATTCAGTAAGATTTTTCTCAACGTGAGAAGATAAAATCCCTATCCCTATTTTTACTATCTATTGCGATTCCTAAGCTTTCTTAACAATTCTTGTTATCTGAAGATAGCATAATCATAATATATCATAATGATGATTATACATTAAATTTACTAAAGAAATAATTGGACTGCGAGCAGACCCACTTTTCCAGACTCCGAAGACGAGTTATTCAGGATTTCATCTCCCTACTCCTCGTACTCAGCCGCTTACTCGTCTCCAATATCCGCGTGCGTCCACAGGAATCCAAGATAAGTCTGGATGAAAAGTGAGACTGCTCGCAGACTACTAAAGAAAGAAATACAAGGTTCAACTTTGATCGTGCGTGAAATAGTCCAGTGAGACAGACTGAGTTATGTAGACGGTTTATCAAGTGTTTATATTACTTTTCTTAGAGATCACGCCTCTATCACGTGAATATTGATATAATTCATTCAATGAAATTAAAAACTTTTCAAGCCTTTAACCGACCTACTTTGCTAAACCGCATTCGTGCATCCCCATTTCTTTCATCAAGGATTAGCGCAGCTTTTAAATAAAAGCTTAGCACTTAAGGCTGAAGTACCTATCGGAATTTCAACTCTGACTCCAATTGGTCAATCTGTCCTATATGTAATAATTCCAGTCTCACATCGATGACCCAAATTCGTCTTAACAAAAGCTCATCATTTATCACAATGTACAACATTTTACATCGAGTTTTTTATAGGTTGAGTATTAATTTTCAATTTAGGGTTCGTATTTTCCTGTAATATCTAAAATACTCTCCGAGGTTCCAAACATACGAAGAAAGTTTTCTGAAACGACATCTTAAACTGCCATCAGGTTGCCATTTCATTTAGTTTTTTTTTTTTTTTTACAAGAAACAGTGTAAGAGAAATTCCGCAGTTTCATGCCGAGATAACTGTACGACTAACTAGGTTTTTATGGCTAGAGTTAATGGGGATCACGGCGGGAGCGTTTAACAAAAGAGTTGCCACGGGCAACATTTCAAACGTCCAGAATAGCACGCAAAAGAACACTGAATGCACAAAAAGGCCACAGCCATAGTTCTTATGGACACATAAGACACGTAATATATAAATAGACTTTCAGTAATGCGGTGACGGAGAATGGCGTAACGGAAACAAAGACAGTTTGATGGGTGTACGCATATAGGATGACCGCCTAATTAGACTGATTATAAATGAGCTGCCTACGACTTCTGGACTCAACCTTGCCTTTCAAAAAATATTTTTTTTACAGATCGTTCCGCCGCCTCAATTTGTGATTTTCTATGTGAGAAAAGGCACTCCGATCTCCAGATTAACAGTTATGACAATAAAAACAAAAAACAGAGAACAAAAAGGCCGGAGGAAGGAAATGATATCGTCTCGTTTTAGTTGACGCGAAATCAGTCGTGACCCACCCTTTTTTTCGTTAGAAGAATACTATATATAAAATACCTTGTTCTGCCATTTCATTGCAAACTGGCGATTAAAAGAACAAGACCTTTTGACAAATAAAACCGAAACTGTTGACTGATTGTAAGATCGTTTCTTTGATGACGACCTCTTATGACAATGGAATGTAAGTAATGTAGAAAACCAAGACGAAAAAATGATGTTTGATCAAATAGAAAATTCTTAACAACAGGACATTTTGTGAAATAATCAAAATTGGTCGCTTTATGATAAACAAGAATGATAAACTGAACTAGGAAAGACTTACCTATTCTTAGATGTTTTGCCTGTTTCAGGAACTTTCTCCCATCATGAACGCAATGAGCAGCTGTTAGAACATGCCGCACACCGACCAACGTTCCTGTGCATCCACTAGAAAGATAGACTACCGTTGAGAAAGGATATGTTTGAGCTTTGACGGACGTTTCGACAAGATTACGATCATCTAACCCAAAAATGGACCTTTTGCTTCTTGATAAAAGCTTCGTCATCGGCAAGTTCCTCGATTTCTGTTCCTGACCATGAGGATTAAAAACGTTAACACGATATAAAATTTTTTGTAGAAGCTGTTCCTCGTCTTTGCTATCTTCCACAATATCAAAATCCATCACAAATGGCATGCCTGTGGATTCTTTTGAGCTGTTCGTTTTCATGATGCTTTTGCTCTTAAAATTCCTGATTGTTGAAATGAAGTTTTCATGTACAGGAACAGCATTACATAACGTGCCAATGAACATGATAACCATTATGAAACATATCTCTGACTTCGTTGGACACATGATGCACTGTAGTGTGATGATGCAATGGCTTACGGCGATCTGTATTGGGATTGCGTCTTATATATGGCTGAAGGTAGTCGGACTCTGACAGGAACTTACTGGAGACAACGGTTGAATTGACAAATTACTTAGATATCGTATTTAGAAAGTAATAAGATGCACTTGTCCCTGTAGAACATAAAAAAAACTGTAAGGTCAGACAAAGAATTAACAGATTTTAGTGACCCTTAAATATTTTGTATGATATACCTGTTCAAAGTGCTGGATGTCAAAGTATTTGATGGCACGAGCTTGACTGCCTTCACAACACGGGCCAAATGATGTCTGATAATTGCCTAATCGCATGTTAAATGATCATGTTATTACAGATATTTAACAAATGCTTTGTAATCCATTGAAGAATTTAGCTTGAATAAAGATCCGCTCCTGGGGTTTATCATTGCAGCGGATGTTTTACATTCTTGAGATAACTAGTCAGAATCTTTCATTCATTTGTATTGTGAAAAAAATAGTAGGTGCCCACAAGAAAGAAGAGAACACTTCAAAGCCCAATCTAGCAAATCCTTAGTATTTCATCACATGGAAAGGTATTTCATCACATCTAAAATAATGTTTGCTATAGGACCAATCCACAATATTAAATATTTTCCAATACCATGGACTGTACCATTTTGTTTCAAGAATTCTAATCGGCTGCACACAAGCCCAAGCCAAGCTGAGCACATGCTTGAAGCAATTACTAGAAAATCTCAAAATAACTTTTTCTCGTACATCTGTCACATATTTTAAAATAATAATATTCATAGGACATTTGTCTTGTTTTCGGGACTTTGCTTTATACATTTTCATGATTGCATTGTAAGTCATAAATGTTTGAATGTTAAAATTGTTAAAATTGTTAAAATGGCCCGTAATCAAACTTTTGTACAATTTATCAGCATGGTCATTTTGCCGAACAAAGAATTCGTGCACATGGCACGCTTAAGTCATGCAATAATTACAAACATATAAAGTTATTATTAGAACCTTTTTAACTTAAAACCCAAATGGCTGTATTAAGAAAATTATTAAATTAGACATGACTTTAAGACTAGTTTTGTTTGAAGGGATTCCTATTTTTGCAATTTAGAAACGGATGAATTTGTATTTGCTAGCGAAATCTTTCTTAATAAAGTACCTTTATTTCGGAGTGTGTGACGTGTTAGAATGAAGGAAACGGGAAGTGAATTAATAAATATACATTGAATAAGCGCCATTATTTGAGGCAAATGTCTGATTATAAATGAAATGAAGGGCTTCCCACTCTTACTAATTGCTCACTTAAAACATCCAGAGCTGAATTTTATTAAAAAAAGCAAAATGACGCTGGAGTTTTCCTTGAAATGACGCAAATAGGAAGTAACTTATATTTGAATTATCTTAGCGTTGAAGACAAAACACAATCGAAAGTGTAGGATTAATAACTTCGATGACAGCGTAAAGCAGTTTTAGCAAGAATGCGGAAAGCATAAAGCCAAGTTGCCAATCAAAACCGACGTTGAAACTGTCAAAGCAGGATTTTCAGTGAAGGGCTCAAGCAGTATTTTAACAGCATTAGAGAAGACGAGTTTAAACTTAGGAAGCACGCCCGCACCTACGATATCCCGCACTACAATACAAATAGATTTAGAAATAGTTTTATCTAGGTTATCTTCTTGTATTCCTGTAAATAGTTATTAATAACCTAAATTGCATTAGTTTGAATGCGTATAATATTCTTAATAATGCTTGTACTCAGTTTTGAGGCTTTATGTGTACTAAATCCTGCTACAGTGCATTGGGGGTATTAAGTAGAGCCATACTTATCAAGTAACTAGTAATGAATGCTCATATATTAGACCTGCTGAGTCATTAGGTTTGAATTGACTTATTGTAATCACAACTATTATAATCTACTGCAGTGTCACTACCATTTCCAAGATACTTTTTCAAGATTTTAGGAATCGTAGGCGTGGACTTGAACGGTAGCGCAACAAGATATAGAATATACTCAAACGTTTTTGGGAACACAAAATGACAAGACGAGACATAAAAAGACAAGTGCCTACAAATATCAAGTCTAATTCATGTTGGGACATTCTCTCGATCGCCGACACACTTCAATGAAGCTAGACCGACATTTTTATTTGAATTTACCTGAGATCTTGCATGCAATGTCCACTATAAGGCTAGACATAAAATAGAAAACGATCGTACTGCTTATTTTCTTCTCTCAGTGGTTTCCTCTCTTTTGTTTTCAGACAGCACAACGATGACTTGTACTTCATGTAATTTTTATCACAAACAAAACGTTTACCAGTCGTTGAATACCAGAAATGATCAAAATTCAAACGATGATTAGAATGAATTAGGTGACGCAAATAAATAAAAAAATCGTATGGGGATTAGACCTGTACAAATAATTGAACGACAATGAGCCAAGGCCTATAGTAATCGAAATCAATAGAGAAATGACTTTTAAAAAGCTAATTATAAGAAATATGTATCATCATGTTACACAATATTGTCAGTTAAAATACGGAAACAAAGTATGAAAAATTTTTAAAGTTCTAGAATTATCGCACATAGTCTACGAAGTTAAAGAAGACTTGTGGTTAATTCTAGAACGTGGGGTTGAACAACATATTTACGAAAAAATCGACAGTAACCATCCTCCTAAGTTTCTCCTTCATCTAAGATAATAAGATTTTTGTAAGAATATCGACAGAATATCGGGGTTAGAAAGATTTGCGTCTTGAGCAAAGGAGCAGCTCATGTGGGTGGAAACTTCTAGGTTTTATTTTGATATAACGTTCCGCTTACCTATTTTAATCCTAAGTTTGTTTGCAATCTACTTACAAACTCAGTAGTATAGATATTTTACAACTTATATTTAAGTTTACATGCCATGAATTGCATTATTAAAAAATTCAATAAAAAATTGGGAAACGCTGCTATTCGTGGTAATCCACTCCATTGCTTTATAAATTCAAAAAGAGAGACCGCCATCTGTTGCAGTGGCCACAGGTAAAAAAAAACCTCAAAGAAAGTACATAACCTGGAGAACAACATGCATGATACTTACAAATCCTAATTATAATTGGTTTGAGTAAAATACCTTGTCTATATCGGAAATGGAGATAATTGTAAAAACTGAATTGTAAAAAAAATAAATATTTGTATATTGACATCTTAAAGTGGTTCTCTATCTTCTCTTTCACCGCTTACGACGCGAAGTCTACTTTTCGTATCTTCTTATGTGTTTCTGGCGACCCACCGTCGCTTTTACAGTTGCATGCATGTAAGCGTGAATTAGATAGCCACAATCCTTTTCCTTGTAAATGGGATTTTAAAGATATTACTTAGATGAGCAAAGCCTTCTAGCTGTTAGAAAACAAAGAGTCTTGCACCATCAGCCTTGCTTCAAACCATCAATTCATAAGCTTAGCAACTTGTAACTAACAAAAATTCTTTAATGTAAAGCTAGAACCCGTTCAATCCATTGGCCATAAGCAGAAACTTTGGTATAAACTCTATGCTTTACGGGCAAGCCACAGCCTTCGCTGTTCGAAGTACTGACTCCACTGACAACCCACTTGTTAGATTCATCTTGACACATAAGCGGACTTCCAGCATCTCCATAACAACCGTCTCCTACTCCATGAGCACAAAACAAATTTGTATCAACACGACCATCGTTCGTATTGCGATTGCAGTCCCTTTGTGCAAGTAGAGTTAAATTTTTAGAAAGAAGAGGGACGGAAGTAGTTTGAGGTAAATTAGAACTTCCCCATCCAGCTACTGAGCACCTCTTTCCTGGTTGTAGGCGTTCAGTCTTAGGCAGACATATGGGTCTTACCCTTTCATTGATTTTCACAGGTGTATCGAGGTAGATTAATGCAAGATCGTTTCGACCAGATGTCCTATCATAACGAGGGTGTCTATAGATAGCTTTAAGAGATATTTCTTGCTCATTTCCATCCTTATTATGAAGATCCCACATTCCAGCTTGGACTACCCAGGAAGATGACAGACGGAATCTGTAATATAGTACAAAAATAAACGTTCAGTAAAAGTATAACTGCGCTATTGGAACTGTTCTATTCAAAAGTACAAAATTATACATCAAAAACAAGGTTCATAATGGCAGTTGCAGGAGTGGATCTAGGGGAGGGGTGCACGGGGGTGTGCACCCTGCATAGATGAGCTTTATTTATTGCGTTATTGGTGCTTTAGTTTGTGAACGCAGACCTGATCCTAAATGGTGCACCCCCTCCTTATAAAATCCTGGGTCCATCGGTGAGTTGTAAGATCCAACCTAGGATCACAGGCTTGTAAGCGACAAAGCTACCGCGGGATTTGTTTCTCCAACGATTACCTACAAATAGGAGATTGTTGAGTTTAGAGATATTAAGACCTCACCTCTGAAAGCAATGAGCCGCAGTCAGAACCCATTGAGTTCCTATCAAGGCACCACTACATTGTTGGTCAGAGTGTCCTATAAGAAAAAGGGCTACTTGCCAAGGCCACTGACCCGGCCAATTATTTAGATTTGTACTGGCTTCGGGAATGGAACGCAATCCGCAGGTACCTAATAAAAAAGTAAAAGTAGTGAAATTAATATTTCCTCCTTAATAGACCATTTTCGAGTTACAAAGTACCGCTATGTCCCTTGATTACATTCACATTTACTCAGGGTTAGCCTCGTATCAGTGTCAAAAATATTCACAAATACCAAGGGTAAATTAAAGAAAACATAACTTCAACAACAAAAACACTTTAAAATTCCAAGGAACTTTACTGGAACAAATGTACATTCCTCACAAAGTCGAGGCTAACCCTGAGCAACAGAGAACTCGAAACTGGAGTGTTAGATAATTCATATATTTACAAAATTTATTCTTTCAACTCCAGATACTAAATAAATCATCTCTCTAGCTATGCATAAGGCTCCTTACCTGAGGTAGGATGGATTCCAGTGCCTTGGCTATTTGATGGTACAAATCCATAAGACATAGTCACTTTGGTACTGGCTTCACCTGATACAACGTATTTAATCCAAAGAGCACTGGCTGAAGACCTGACAGGGCTAGGTTTACTATTTCCACAGTACTTTCCAATCAATGGGGCATATTGTGTGAATCCATTACGAACTTCAATATAATCCTTAGTGCATGTGGAATCAGAATTCTTGAAGATGAACCGATCAAATTTTAGGACATAAGTTCCTTTAGACGATACTGGTGACAGCTTCCAAACACAACCTTCTGTATTCATAAGACGTGACTCTCCGATTAATCGATTTCCTATTTTTGTACAAAGAGTAGGTCGACCTAGTTGTTCTGGAAAGCAAAATAGATAAGAGAGTGAAACCATGCTTACTATTTTGTGTAAAACGTGATAGCACGAATTATCGGACCTTGCATCTAACGAGAGATAAAGAATATACAACACAGTGACATCTTTTGGTTTATGAGCCCGCAGTTTTCTCGACGTGGGTGACTTATACAAAGCATAGAGCATGACATCTGCTCTAGTAGTACTTCTAAACAGACCGCTATAGCAAATGGCAATTATGCATACTTGAGAAAGGAGGAGGGCAGTGATCTCGGATGGAAGTAACAATGACACTTACCAACTGGGCAGCCATATAACTCTGTGCGTAGTGAAAAAGAAATGTGTTTTTCTAATGGCCAAATGCGAATAAATTGACTTCTGATTGGATTCTTCAAAACATGACGAACTATAGAGTTTTTGTCTTCATTGGCTTGAAATGTCTGAAAACAAACAAAATGCTAGTTATGTTGTCATTTTGTTAAAAAGGTTGGACAGTATCTCGAAAATTGTCTTTTTTGATCTTGTGGTCCAAGAAGTTTGAATGCGCAAAAATCATTGAAAAAAGGGTCTATTTACTTTCTTACTGGATAAATGATGAAAAGAGTACAGCAATAATTACATCGTTACCTTTATTTTCCATTCGGAAATCCGATTCTTTTTCTTTACTTGGTAGTCCTGCCATCTACGTTTGTCATCCAGCCATGTTACCTTGTATGACTTGACCCACTGATCTAATGCACCACCAAATCCTTGAGTAGCTACCTGCGTCACAATATACTCATCTCTCAATTTGATTTGAAGCCAAGGAGAACGGTCATTTTCACTTGCTATCCACCCTTGAGGCCATGTAGTGATATTCAGTCTTGCACGACTGGCTCCATATCTACCATGCTGGTTAATCCAAGCTGACGATACTCTGAGTTGGTTGTCCTTGATGGCACCATTTGACATTCCTAAAGGTTTGACGCAGTCATCTGAAGCACACAAAATTCAACAATTATTACCTTGCATTTAATACCATTCACGAAAGGCCGTCACCTCCTATTATTAAAGAATAAATTGAAATACTCAAAGTTTAAAACACAGTTGAAGTGTTTGCCTATAGTGTACCTAAAGTGCATCCATACAACTCCATTCGAAGTCCAATGTTTCCCTGCCATGTCTTGGGATGAAGTACGACCTCTTTTGTTATTAAAGGTACCTTCAATAGATGTCGAACGACGGAGTCCCTATCCGTGTTACCTCTAAAAACCTACCAGAACAATAACAGCAGGGGCACCGAGTTTTTTTATCAGTATAAAAGTATAATATCTAGCTATTAATAATGGTTTGTAATCTTGGTATTAAAGACCCGCAAAGACACTTTAGTACTCTCCGCTTGAAAAAAACATGCAATGAAATATATAGAAAAATTCACAACCTTTATCCTACCTTTTCTTTACCTTCCTCTTGGTAAGGTACATAACCTTGCTTCTTATCAAACCAGGTGACCTTGTAACTCTTTACCCATTCACTGAATATAGGGTTACCATACCCTTGGGTAGCTATACTAGTGATAACGTGTAAATCATCAAACTTGACTTTTATCCATGGATTTTTATCACTGGGATCAGCAACCCACCCTTGGGGCCATGCACGATTATTCAACCTTGCTCGTTGGGGACCATATTTATTAATGGACATCCAGTGTGAAGATGCTGAAAACTGAGAGTCTTTGGTTTTGCTGTCTTCTAATCCAAGCGAATGGCCACACTCTTCTGTAAATAGAAATGTTGTACATAGTATACCTGTCAAGTAGAAAGTCATTGACGACAAGTTTGACGATGAAATTAAAGGTAACCCATTAAAAAAATTTTTTTTGGTCATGGGGTGGGGTATATTTGCTATATTGGTATGTGCCGCCGTTTTTCGGCTTTTGGGTCTGGGGTAGGGGGTCATTTTTTGACATTTTGTCTGGGATAGGGTATCATTTTAGTCTGGGATAGGGTTAACGATTTGGTGGTTTTTGTCTGGGGAATAGGCTACGCTTTCTGCCGACACAAAAACAATAAAAATGTTAGTAAATATTGATTGCAACCGATTGTAAAACCGTATTTTCCGTCTTTTAGTCTGGGATAGGGTGTATAATTCTTAGTTTTAGTCTGGGGTAGGGTATGTAAAATCAAAATTTTAGGTCTGGGATAGGGTCAGGGGTTTGAGGTCCTGGCGGCACACCCCTACCCAAGTTGGGGTGGTAGCCCCACCCGGGTCCCATTTACGGGAAATGTTTTATGAAACGCATGAACACTTACTTTGAGGATCTTGTTGAGGGTCATCTCCTAAGGTAATTGCACTTTGTTCACCAATGGGTTTAATAAATTGAGCCTCCGTAGTCCACGTTGCTTCAAATCCTTTTGACGTTATGAATCCGTTGGAATGAAACCTGACCCAGAATTTATTAGACGATCCTCTTACAACCATAGGTGCAGTGGTACCGCAGTATCTACCGATCAATGGAGCGTTATGCGAATCTCCATCACGAACTTCAACATAATCTAAGCGGCAATCGTCTCCTCCTTCGAGATCAAACTCTTCAAACCCAAGAGCGATCAGTTTGTTGTCCGGAACTCCAATAACCCATACACAATCAATGTTGTTGCTGTAGTAATATGGGTAACCAGGGGAATAAAAATATCCACTTGGCTGGACAAAGTTTCCGCCACAAGCTGCAATTATTGAAACCACAAACATATTAATGCGGCAAATAACTCTATTTTTTTCAAACTATATAATAAACTATTCACAGGGTTGTTTATACGAAAATACAAAGTTTAAAATGACACAAGGCAAAGATGAGTGTCATTACCTATAAGTAAGAAATATCTTCAGTTATTACTACTTCATTAGTAAGAAATAACATCCACAGAGATTTGTATCAATTCCGATCATAAGAGTAATTCATAAAATGCACATAAATGATATATTCAAAACTATAATCTATAATTGAGAGAAATCGACTTCGTTAATGTATTAATAAACTCACCTCCCCTGTATGGAGTAAAAGGAGTAAGAGTTGCGGCAGAAGTGGTTAGAACTCGACCATTATTAGCATACCAGTAAGCTTGGAAGCCCGAATTTGTTAATGAAGAATCAGAATTGAATAGAACAGTCATTACATTTGAAGTACTCTCTATTGGACCTATCCTAGTAGAGCCATCTGGGCCACAGAATCGTCCTAGTTCTCTAGATCCCACTGAAGGACCATCATAGATAAGCAAGTAATCAAACCGACAGGTTGAATCAGCTTCTAGATTGAAGGCAGATAGTTCAAGTCGAATTTTGTTTCCTTGAGGTGCTTCTATAGTCCAGTGGCACATTACATTCGTCGGGTAACTATTAGGATACTGAGGACTTTGGAAAACACCAGTTGCTGTGGTAAGTTTTCCTCCGCAACCTGAAGAGCAACACATTTACACCTTATTAACACCTCAAAGTAATATAGTTTTTTTGTACTGTGTATGAGGTACGAAACATACTGCTTTTGTAAACAATAATAACGTCAATGTAACTGGGACACCAAAATCTGATTTTCATATGTAGTGAATACTTAGGAGAGCTGTGAGCTACCAAAGGCCTATAAACAATAAAATATACCTTGTTCTCCTGGTGATGGAGGCTTAGTAGTTATCACCGGTGGAGGCACAGTAGGTGACACCCTTCCTATATCATCCACCACTGCCCTCCAAGTGGCACGAAAACCACTTTCCGTTTCTGAATTATCAGAGAAAAACACTAAATGTAGAGCATCTCCAGTTGATTTCATTACTTCAGGAATTTGCTGGCCGCAAAGTCTATCCTTAAGTGCTGCTTGATCGCTGCCTCCATCTCTGATCTCGACATAATCGTAACGGCAACTGGAATCCCTTTCGATGTTAAAAGCTATGAACTCCAACTCGACAAATTCACCAGATTCCACCTTGATCGTCCATGAGCAGATTTTGTTGATTGGATAGTTGGAAGGATAATTAGGACTTGTGATAGTGCCACTGGTACCTCTTACAGTGATGTCACCGCATTCTCCTAAGACAATACGAGTTCGTGTTGAGTATTTGTGACGGTGTGGTCATGAACTCAATAGTTATGAACCTCATACATTAATTTTGTCTTAAGACATTAAAAAACAACTTTCTTATTCGACTTTCAAAAACTACTTCCTCTCAGCAAACGATATGGCATTGTTTTACACGATGGAATTTCGGTTGTACTAACCTGGTAATCTTGTTGGTTCCTGTGTCTCAGGAATATAAGGCGTGGTCGGCGTAGGTGGAAATGTTCTAGGAGGTCCACCTGTGACATGCCACTCAGCTTTAAAACCAGATTCCGTTTCACTGCTATCTGAACTGAACTCCAAGTACATAACATTACTAGTAGATGTCACAGATGAAGGAATCTCTTTGCCACATAGTTTGGTTATGAAGGTTCCACTAGAGTCTCCTCCATCCCTGATTTCAAGGTAGTCATACCTACATGTGCGATCATTTTCAACATTGAAACTATCAAAATAGAGACGAATTTTTTGCTCTTGTGGTACTTTAATTGACCAGGAACATTTTTTGTTGACGGGGTAGTCATTCGGGTATCCTGGCGTTATAATGATACCACGCGTACCATGAACCTCTCCTCCACATAACAGTGGATCTGTGGGAGCTAAAAGAATACATTTTCTTAAATTAGCAGCCAGGGAAAATAATTGGTTCTTTTGCTAGAGAGTATGCAAACTATTTGGTCTTCACTAGTAACACCATCTCAAAAGCAGTGTTTAGTGCACTAGTAAACGACGCAAATCTCGGACAATAAATAAGGACAGGCAGGCTCTAATGGTCAATGATTAGTTGCTTAAAAATATTTATCTTTTGTAAAACTCTTGCACGGGAATCGTTTTGCTTAGTTTAACAGAGTTTAGTAGTTAGTGCAGTTTTCTAGTCATTGCTCATACCTTTTGTTGGGGGAGTCTCAGTTTGGATTCTTTCCGTATCTGGAATTAATGTGCTTGGAAGAAAGGAACCTTCAACTTCCCATCGAGCGATGAACCCTCGCCTTGTTTCACTTGAGTCTGAACGGAACTCTACCCACAATGAATTCCCAGAGGACGTTATTGTAGCAGGTTTACTAGAACCACAAAATTTGCCTATCATAACATTACTGCCTGAGGAGCCATCCCTTATTAATACATAGTCGTATTTGCAAGCTGAATTAGGTTCCAGGTCGAAGTAATCAAACGTAAGCCTAACATTCTTTCCGCTTCGCGGTGTTATGAGAACCCACACACATACTTGATTGACTGGATAGTTCGCAGGATAGTTAGGGGAGACAAGTGTCCCACTGCGACCTATTTGTGTACCTCCACATTCAGCTGGAATCGAAAAATAATAATAAATGTCATTGCATGCTTTTCTCAAAACCTTTTCCGAGGAATGACCAAAAAGTCAGCAAACATGTTGCAACGACGAGGTATTATATGTACTATAAACGAGCTGAGAAAGACTGGGGCTATATCGGCCTTTTCTCCGGCAAATTCGCGGTACAGTTATGTTCAACACATCTTCAGAAGACATAGGCTCATAAACAGAGCAGAAGGCAGACTAAAATGCGCGCCACGATTTCAGTGATGCGACTCTTCACTTCCTGTCACCGTAGTACGCTGGCGCGCATGTAGCCTATCTTAAGTGCCTAACATAGGATATTCGTGATATTGTTATTATACTTATTTGACCTGCGTTAAACTACGTGTACGTGTTTTGATTTACAAGTATTTTCTAGTACGGCTGACATTTGCGCCTATTTTTACTGTTCCATAAAATTGACTGCCGAAAATTTCTTTATCTGGAATGAACTATATGCACTTAAAATGATAATCAATATCAAAATCTTTGGAGAAAGGACACGCTTGAAATAAAGCGCATTTTTCATTTCGAAACCATGAAGTCTTCAAACTTTCTCCGTTATTAATAAAAAATTGTGAAAACCTTTAAAACAAGCATATGTTAATAAAAATCCTTAATTTTACTCGGTCCCATGCGATTACATATACTAATTAATAAAAACCACAAACAAAAGGAAGCACAAAATAAGAGGCACAGTGTAGTTTATAATTTCAGCCTAAGGGCTAATAAAATAAGCCTTTTTTCGAATGACACGAATGATCGTGAGAACCTAACAATTATAAATATCTTAAGAAAAAAAAAAAAACAACTGAGTCCCTAAATCCGAAGTGATGACTTTTTTTAATTTTCTATCAAAGGCAATAATCCATGGCTTCAAAGCTTATTTTTGTTCGATAATCGACATGTCAACTGACGCATCATGCACAACAGCAAACAATTAATTTAATAGTCCTCGATATGATTCATATCAGTTCTTACCGCTAAGTACATTTTGTTCGTAATCAATGGCAATTTGGCATTCATTAGAAACTAATGAACCCACGGTGCATGAGCATATAAAGGTAATGAGAAATTATCATTCTAAAAAGGGAGTGATAACGGTAAAAGAGATTAATAACCACACCAATTGTCCTCCCACTCTACCGCTAAATCCCCACTTCCTTGGTATTCACTGTTGATATGATAATTTAAACAAAGCTTCCTTAAGTTACGTATTCTTTTGCATTTATTGTGGTTTGAGCGAAATAATAAAAGCATTTTTTTCTAGGTTTTCATAGCTGTATCAACTGTGGTTAGACAAGCCCAAAAGAAAAGAATTTAATAAGACGGTCTTTTTTCAAGGGTAGATAACATTTTTTTGGGGGCCCATAATGTTGATGAAAATACATGCACAAGAAACATCATCAGCTGAGATGTGCAGACAAGTTTTTCTCACGGGAGTTTTCCTATTTTGATTGATTATTGTCAACAACCACTTCCAAAGGTGTCTCGGTTGGTTATTAGTAGTGTTCGTGTACCCCTTTATAGTCTCGAAAACTGATAATTTTTTAGCTCTAAGAATTAACAGCAAAACCAGTTTGACAGAACTTACCATTAATTTGAGATCTAGCATCTGAAACAAAAAGGATAACATACATTATTTTAGGTTTTCTAATAGCAGGCATATATGCCATGTCAAATATTCGGCTCTCAGCAAACCAAGTGTATCAAAGAATGTGTTACTCTGTACACATCAGAAGCTCAGACGTGAGTATACATATATATATCAAGATATGACAACATATGGTGACCAATAACTAAATATATTTATCTTCTTTCGCGCTACCTAGACTGGTTATGAAATGTAGGATGTATGTGACCTTTCCAGCTTTAAAACATATAAAGTTTCTATAACTATGTTATTCTTAATTTGCTAGAATGTTGATCATCACTTTATTGAAGAACATTGAGTGCAGAATTTCAATGAAGTTTATAAAGCAGTAATTAATATATGGCTTTTGAGAAGATTGTTAAAAGCTATATTAAACTATTCTCTTGAAAATATTATAATATCTCCCGGGCAAAATGTAGCAGACCACCTTAATCAAGCGCATTCATTATTTGTCATAGACAAATGTCACACATATTTATTTCAAAAAATGTGATTGTTAGATAGCATTGTAACCAGAATCAAGATGCAGTTTACGACTTAGAAATCAAAACCAACTTATATTACAAGCACGAACTTTTGCATTCTTTTAAAACTTTGCTTTATATTCAAAGTTGATCGACTGTTCAAGCAACTATATTATTCACAATACACAAGTCTATGGTTACTAATACTGATGTAATTTACTTTACTTACCACCCCAAAATGAAGTAAATATTATAGCAGCTAATACCAAGACCGGACTTCTTAGTTCCATGACTCTTATCACCATTCTCACGGTATGAATGAATGATTGAGGTGCACAAAGATTGTTGGTTGACCGCTGTCTTATTATGCAAAAGTGCACTGGACCAAGAAAGCTTCAGTTGTCTCAACTTGTATACTGATATTACCATCTGACAGAAAAAGTATTGTCTTCGACTCCAAACTGGGCATCCAACCAACCATGTCAGGAAGGAAGCACCGAGTCTTATCTAATAATGCCTTTATAAGGCTCCTTTGCAATATTGATTTATATCTTTATATTTGCATTCGATTGATCCAGCGTCAAAATATGGATCTGCGACCTTAAGTGATAATGGATACGAATAGACTAACATATAAAGAACACATAGAGCGACAAATTCAAATAGCAACCAGAAAAGGGCACGAGTCATTTACCCTTTAGTGGTGTGGCCAACATGTCAAACTTGACACCTTAAGGAATAAAACTTAGTAAACAAAGAAAAAAAGCATCTTAGATGTACAGAGCATAACTTAACCGTAAAAAACATATAACATTGAAAAGTGTAGTCAAAGCGTAGTCTAGTCATATCAAATCAATGTATTACGGAAAAAATTGTTAAACGATCCTTTTTGCATTAATCATAGACACAAGAAGGTACTGAAGCCAGAAACATTATAATTGTGGGTATCAAATTAGCAGTCTTCAAAAAATTTCGATTAACTTTATAGTCCGACTACTTTTTTTTGTCTTAAAATAATCCGCGAACAGCATGAAGACGGTGGCAAATGACATTGTTATCAAAACTAACACTGCCGGCCAATAAACAGAATTGGTAAAAGTTATAATGGGAACAAAAATGATTGGAATTTCAAAACCTACGAACCACTTTGCTGAGTAGTCCAAACTCAGGAAATGCTTTACAAATGTAGATAGCTTTAAAAACGATTTTTGAATACAAATATATTTTGGCAAACATCACCCCCAAGTCGTATTATTTTCGTTGTCTCTTAACTATCCCGATAAAAAAAGTTTATAGAAACATTTTTCGCAACTAACTTTCGTTTTTTTAATAAGAACAAATAAACACCAAAAATAGCATTTGCATTCAGTTCCCACAAATCGGGATGGGAGATCAGAGGATTACGTAATGTCTAGAATCGGCAACACTCTAAACAGCATTACTGCGGTGTGGGAGTGAACAAGAGCACGCAAAAAGGGTACATATGTCATTCAGTGTCTCAGAAGTATTTGAGCAACAATTTGACTTGCAACTCGAATGTCGCTTCTACTAAATATGTTCATCACAAGCGTTGTGTTCGAATAGGTCGCGGTGTTCTGAACGTATTGAGCTTTCTCTTATTTCGATTAAACGATGATTGGACCAAGTGCTGTTTGCTAGGAGTTTGAAGACCAAGTTTAATTCGTGGTGGGGTGTGCGGCTCTATGAAATCCCATACATAAGGATTTGGTAAATTTATAGCTAGCAAACTGGCAATACGTGTATTTCCTACATAAAAAAGAAAGAAAGAAAGAAGTGTGAAATGACTGAAAACTCTTTGAGGCTTTCCGAGGTTTATAACTTACCTGCGTTCGTTGCAAAATCAATGGGATAAACTCCGTTTTTGTTGCAAATACTTGGATCGGCACCTTTATAGGGGCAAAAAAGAACGAGTGCACTAATGGATGCGAAATCACATATTTTTGCATTGATCTGTTTTATTATAGAAAAAGATCAAGAGCGACTGTTGGATTCAAGAAGCTGGAACTTGCCTATATCTAGCGTTACCTTGAAACAACAAATAACGGATAAGGCGTTTTCTGTCATAAGAGGCAGCAATGCACAAAGGCGTGTTTCCAAGCCAGTTTTTAGAGTTGAGATCACATCCTAAAGATAATTCAAAATGAGGCTTTGGAGCGTTAAACTGGTTTTTTAAAAGTGGAAACTGGACTGAAAAAAAAATTAATACTGAATTCCGATGATTTCTTTGGCATTATATATATATTTTAAATTTGAATAGTCATAATTGGTGAGTCGTAAAAAATTCCTATAGAAATAAGAGTRAAATCCGAAATCTGGGAACTCAGTACTCACAAATTCCTAACTAATAAGATTTTATGCTATCAACTGGAGCTTAACTAACCAGTTTTAATGAGCATCGCAAGTACATCAAAACTTTCTTTGCTGTTTTGGTTTGCGCAAGCAAACGTAGCGATATGGAGCGGACCATCTTGGCAGGCTGTTTGAGAATTGATATTAGCTCCTGGGTATTTGAAGAAAATGTCATCAGTTCTAGAATGATATTAAGGTGGCTCCATATAGTTTTGTACGCATGCGCGCCAGGTTGTGCACGAGCGTGCGCAGTACCAGAACTTGAAGAATTCTTATTTTGATGACGTCACGAAAAGTCGGTGGCAAGCGTTATTTAAAAAAAATAAAAATATATATATCTGTATTTGCTATAAAATAAAATAATTTCTAGTTCTATTACTCTAAAGCCTGAAACTATATGAAGCCACCTTAAATTAAAGTATGGAGTAATGGGAGAAGATCAGTTGGAGAAACGGGAAAAAGTAAAATCCCAAATAAATTTAATTAATCCATGAGAGTCATTAGGCAGGGGCAGCATAGTGGTCAGGATGTGCTGGTCCCCTAAAAACAGTCTCCTTCCCTCTATTGCCTCAAATTCATTGGCCCTCAAATTTCTGAAATCTACTTACCATGCTTTAACATGTACTCGACAAGTTCCATGCTTCTGCTCATGCATGCACACTGAAAATCACAAGTATTTCTACAGCGTCAAACCAGTTGCAAGGAAAAGCACACTGGGAAAGTAATATATGTAGACTCTGAATAATGCAGCTAGAGTTTGTGCATTTTGCTTTCGTGAACCAATGTCAAGTAAACATTTGATAAGTTAATTTGTCTTTAAAAATTCTATTTTTTTGGTTTGAAGTTAATATTAATTACTTACCAAGAATGGAGTCAGTCCAGAGCATGAATTAGGTTCTGCTGCATTTGTATCTAATTTGGCATCTTCCAGTTGTGAGATAACTTCTTTAGCAAAGATAGGATTATCACAGTCCTAAATAGAAAATTATTATTTTTGTTTTGAAAATGCTGATACAAATCAAAGTTGAAATGAAATAGGAACTTAGACATCCTGAAAAATATAACACAAACCTTTATCATGTTAAAGAGCCCTGAAACTGAACATGTATCTTTCTTTAAAAATGTACTAGATGAAGCATCTGGTTGGTGAAAAATGAAATAAAGGAGCTAATTAATTTACCAGTAATAAGGGAAAGGATGTTTTAAGGACAAAATATATGCCATTGTCTACTATTAATAGATAATAGATATTAAAAAAAACTGTTTTTATACTCAGATAGCTCACACTTCAACTTTGCCACTTAAACAACAGGTATAAAATTGTTTTGAAAACCTAATGTAATTTTTTAGCTGTTAAGGGTGGGAGAATTTTTTTGCCTACTGTGCATCATGGAGTTACCAGGGGTAGGGGGGTAGGAGGAGGAGGGCTAAGATTGGAAAACATTAGAGACTAGTAGGGGAAAAGGGGAAAAGTGGGGGCTGTAGCCCCTCATGCCCCTCCCTTTCCACAGCCAATGGTTACAAGAGCATCAGTGAAAAAATCTTAAACATATCGTAAAATCCCCTGATAAGACCTATTCTTGCAAATTGGGCCAGTGGTTTTTACGAGGGCTCATGAGAAAAAAAACAGTCAAGGTGTATCATGAAAATCAGCGTTATAAGAGAAAGGTCAACATATTTCTTTGCAAATAAAGGGGGCACCCCAAATATACAGAAATATTCCTGCCAAAAGTATAAAATTAAAGTACCTTTATGTTGATTGATTTTCTGTCTTTTATAGAACCATCTTACCAATATTAATCCAATAAATATTAGAATCCAGTTTGCTGTTATGAGCTGGAAAATTTTGAGACATAAAGTTTCCAATTCCACAAAAAGAAAGAAATGTGCTGATTTATATAAAAAATTAAAACAAGTCTTTATTCTATGTAAGTAGGAGAATGCAGCTCTCAAAAAATGCTTCCATAATGTACAAAGTGTGTATGATAAGTCCATACATGGCTTCTCAAGTAAATCATAAAGAATAAAGACTGCTTCCATGATGCAGTTTTATTTGTCTGAAACAAAAAAAGCACAAGTGTATATCATGGACTAAATTGATAAACAAAACCCATTCACATTAAGAAAGGAAGGATTTTTCAAGAGACTCTGGACAAATAAATAATCTCTTTTAGATCATCCTTAGCCTATACACTACTGTTAATCTTATAAGAAATTGAAAGGTTTATGAAATGAAGAAACTTTCAGCCCTAGGTTGTACCCTCCTATTACTGTAAGTTGACTGTAAGTTAGGATGAAAGAATATGAATCAAAACAATAATCAACTATTCTTAAATTTCTTCACAATTTCTTGTGTCATTCACATTGTTTCCACAAAAGGAAATATTAAAGAAAGACGGGTGCATTACTAGAACTGTTATGATAACAATCCTTGCGTCATCGACATAAATTCAGTAAATTACCTAGTATTTACTAAAATACTCGGCTATTTTAGTTTTGCTTAACTCTTGTTAAGCAAATATTAATATAATTATCTAATTTTAAGGCAATTCCTTAAAGTTATATGGTCTTAAAGTCCATAAAAAAACGCTTAAACCTTGCTTACCTCTTCCTACTACGAGGGTCACACGGCAACTGAAGTATCTGTTAGCGGCAACTCTTCCTTTATGACGAACCAGCGCGCGCGCGCGTCATAGTTTCCCGCCAAAAGCCTAGACCAAAAATAACCTTAATAGGGAAAGGGACGGGATTTTTGTCTCTTCTGACTCATACATTATGCATTCGAATAGAAAGATTTGTAGTTATTTAATGAAAAGCTCAAACTTTTTCCTTTGAATGTGAAAATTTTGTATTCGTGACGGTGCTTAAGGAAAAACTTATTCAGCTTCTTTGACTTTGCATAATTTCTCCCTCCCCTGCTAAGGAGATATTGTCCAGAAGCCATTCTCGTTCCAGATCTTTCTCGTTTCAAGCGGAAGGGTCTGGGTAGAAGGATGCTAAGAAAACTATCAACGCTCATCAACGCTAGAATCAACGCTGACGCAACGATTCTTTCTTCTACATCTATTTATTCTTCTATAAAATCTAAAAATTCATGGATAAAATTCATTAGTTTTACTGCTGCTCTTTGAAACCTAAAAATGGATGTTGATGAAGACAGAAGACAGGTAAGTGAGGTTTATTAACTAGTTTTAATCAAGAAGTTCGAAATTATTCTTGAACGTTATAGTTCCAAGAAAAAAAGCGTTATCTAGATATGTTGACACTACGACATTTTCATGTTCGTTCGTTACCAGACAGAGGAAAGACAACCATGGAAACTAGAAAAAGACTCAGAACTCCGTATAGAAATCTCTGAGGATAGCAAAGGAGTGAACCTTGTGGTAAGATTTTTAGCTATAGTTATTTTATCAAAAAATTTTAAAACTTCAAATAATCGTATGAATTCTTGGATTATTGCCAGTCAAATGACATTATTTCTCATTTCAGCTGTTGTCAGGTCTTGCGGAAGTCTTTGGAACAGAGTTAGTCAAGAATAAAAAGTTTTCGTTCAAAGAAGGATCAAAGTTTGCTGTTTTTACTTGGCAAGGCTGTTCTATTGAGATATCCTTTTATCATTTTATGACTAAGCTTTATAATACTCATAAGAATTCGCTATAATACTTCAAAACAATTCTTTTTGAATTCCAGGAACTGTTTACAGATAAAATGCTGAGTTTGTCCATAAGTTAATTGAACTATGGTTTGTCAGTTATGCCACAGGCAACCCACTGCCTCATGCCAGAAATATTTAAGATTTTTTTAATGAAGATGATACACAGTGGCTATTCATACGGTAGATGCCGACTTGTATTTGCTATTCGTATGGCAGTCAAAAATAGCAAAAATTAAAGTATAATAAATATTTATGTCCACGTGCTGATGATACATCATTTAAATATGACTATCCAAGCAAATTCACTTCGTGGTCTAGTGGTTAGGTTTAGGGTTAGGGTTTCGATTCTTAGTATCTTCAAAATAGCAAATATGAGTCGGCATACGGCTACCGTACGAATAGCCACTGTCAAGATGATAGTTTTTGTGGCTACCGCTTCTAGAGATCTAGAAGTGAAATAGCCACTATGTCATTGAGTGTGTAAGTCTGTCAGCAAGTAAATAGTCAGAACCAAATAAATCTTATGAAAACCAATGGCATTCCATCAAGCATTGAACACACTTTTTGATCAATAATGATGAAAAGCCAAGTTATTAACACAGGGCTTAAAGCAACGGCTGGACATCGGACAATGTCCGCCCAGAATTGGAACTTGTTCTGTCAAATCTTTGACTTGCTGGTCATTTAAACCAGTAATGTTGAGCCAGAAGCGAGATATGACTGAAGCTGCCCTGTCTCTATTATCTTTGTGGAGTGATTTTACTTCCCACAACTATGTGTTTGTTTTTTCAAATTGGGCTACCTGTGGTTTAGTTTGCTGTGATATTAGTTTTGGATAAAATTCTTTGACAATAATTACATTATTGGACCTGTTGAGGTAGCCTATATCTCCAAAGAGACACCAATGGTTATGTATCTGAATTTTCACATGGCACTAGAGCAAATGAGAGAAAAGGCAGACAAACCAGAAAACCCAGAACTTGGACCAAGGGTAAGAAAATAATAGCAGAAATTCATTGCAGCAGATGTTTATTAGTGATATTTTTAAGTATCTTGGGGTCACCCCTCATGGTTTCTTTAATGATGAAATCTATTTATAGCTAGGAAAGTAAATAAATGATTATTCTATTTTTATTTGTCACTAGCTGATAGGAACTCGGAAAAAATTAGAAAATAAACCCAGTAAATAACCACTCATCATGATTCTTTCCTGTAGCTTATTAATGGCAAGAGTGTTTGACAAGTATCAGGAAGGGCATTTTTTTCAAAGTTCCTTTCAGCTAGTGAAAATTTTTAAATTACCGCATTGCTACGCGGCCACCTCAGACAAAAATCACGACGTGCACTTTGCAATAGGAGCTGCCATCAATCAAACATGTTGACATCATTTAAACGTGTGTATGATTCAAAAGGTGCCAAAACTTGTCGATTGTTTACAAGTATTATGAGCCACACTCACCGGGCCTATCCGGGCAGATCCAAACGCATGTAAATGTCTGGGGTGGCCGAGTAGCAGAGTTCTCTCTTTTTGGGTGCAATATCAGATCAGACAATTTATGATGTAGACAGATGTTTACAAGAACACAAATGTATGTTGGTTGGAGCTACCTCCGACACCCTTCCGTCTCTTGAGACCAATATCAAGTATGCCTGGTATAATGGTAGAAAATGTTTCTATAATCCACTGTATATGTTGTGAATATTTATAGGTGATGGTCGTAGGTCCAACAGATGTTGGGAAATCCACTGTGTGTAGGCTTCTATTAAACTACGCTGTAAGAACAGGTAGACGGCCAGTGTTTGTTGACTTGGATGTTGGACAGGTATAGAATAATAACTATTTAATATATTGTGAATACTAGATTTTTGGGTTATTTTTGGTTCCACTAGTCAAATTGCCAACATTCTGTGTTACAGTACAGGGCTTTTAAAAAAATGGCTAGTTATCTCACAACGTTCAGCCAGAATATTGGAACTTGTCTGGTCAAATCTTTGCTTTTCTAGCATTCTGACCAGTAACTTTGAGCTAAAGTAAGACTAATTTGGCTGGTGACCATGCATGACCGGCAACTGATGGTCTGTAATTTTAAGTCCTGGGGTCAGTACTGGTAATTTTTTGATTTACAGAGGCCAAAGGATTAGATGTCAGAAAGAAAAGTCCAGACTCTTTGTTTATTAATAGCAATATTCATGGTTTACAAACACTGGCATGAGGAATCTTTTCTCAAATCAAAACAAGAGAACTATTATTATAGCAGTAGCAAATGGTGCTCTGGTTAGCACATTAATGAATAAATAAATTTGTATATTGTTTTGATGTTGACTTTTACACTACTTATATACCTGGTTTTTTTAACCAGTCTCGCTATTCCATCCCTCTCCACTACAGCAAGTTAAAGTTAATTAATGATTTTTGCATATTTTTCAACATCATAGGGCACAGTAGGTGTTCCTGGTTCAATAGGTAAGTTTTCATCAGAATGTTTTATGCCATTAAAAAATCTTTTTAAATAGACCTATTCGAATAAGATTATTTGTTTGAGCTGTATCCATATTCATGTGTCTTCTCATGTGCAACCGAGCGCAAAGAGATGATACTCTAGGGAATGACGAATGACATGTGGTCTGAAATGGGAAAACATTATGTCAGAGCCAAAGAGGTCTATTGCTTTTATGAGTGGGGGGGGGGGCATATACTTGTTTTCTCCACAGGAAGCCCAAATTATGTTTTTGCTATATCATGTGAGTTGGAAGTTGTATCATAGAATATTAATGAAGTGGTTGTGTGTGTGAGTGAGTGGGTTAATTTGGAGAACCAGTGTACTGAATATGTATCCCACTATAAAAAAGTGATTTATTTTATTTCTTATTTTAGTTTTGTACTGGTGTTGTACATGGTTTTTAATGCAATATCATGAAATGTCATAAAGGTTTATTTTCAAATATAAGAAAATAAATTTTCTTCTGTCTTTCTTGAACCTAGGAGCTTTACTGATTGAGCGACCTGCTGACATTGAAGAAGGTAATGACAATAATTTGTTTGTAAAGCTGTTTTGGTGCTTGTTATAATGCTTTATTGCTAATTTGTTTAATTCTGTATTAGGTGTCTTACTGATCGTTTTGAATTCTTTAGGATTCCTTTTTGCTCATAGCATTTTGACTAATATATTATATATTATATACTACTATATTTGATTTTCCCATTTAACAATTAGAATAAATTGCCATATAATAGTTCTCCTCTTGTCACACTCATCATATATTTATATTGTTTTCATTTTGTAATGTAATATAATGAAGTGTAAATAAAGATTTTATAATTATTTTAATTCATTATTCTTCCTCCAAGGATTTTCCCTGCAAGCACCTCTGGTATATCTCTTTGGTCATACTTCACCAGCACCAAATGAGAAACTTTACAATAAGCTGACATCTAAACTTGCTGATAATGTCTTCAAAAGATTTGAGAAAAACAAAAAGGGTAAGCCTTTGTTACTAATATTTTTAAAAGACAGATGAAAAATGTAAAATGTGTAGTTTCAGAATTTACCCATACCCTCCCCCCAAATAGAATTTTTTTTAATTTCTGAGAGGTGGGGGAGGGGGTGGGAGCAGAGAAAGAACAAAATTACAGAGTTACAAACAAAAAGAACTACAATGAAAAATTAACAAAATTACAAACAAACAATAAATAATTTGAACTGAAAAGTGAAAACAATAAATTCCATTTTCTTATGAACCTGAATGAAAAAATCCAAAACTTTTTAGCAAAATTCATATACGAATGCTAAGAATTTAGAAGGGCAATCTTGCCACAGGTCTACAAAATAGATAGAAAGCTTTAATTACGACAAACTACCTAAAATACATCAACTTATTTTACTACTTTACAAATTGAAATAATATATAAATAAAATAGTTCCTTGCTGGTTGTTGTTACATTCATAATAATTTGTCTTATCAACCATAGATTTATATCATATTTATCAAATCTATCTTTGATAAGACAAATTATTATGAATATATAAATTATTTTATATTTTCTGATTATAATTAATTCTGGAACTACAGGATAGTCTAATAGTCTTATTAAAGAATTATTCCTGATTAGTTGTTCTCCCTGGGAGGCACAGCTGGATATCACAGACATTTACTCCCTCTTGTATATCTCTGTAGGCAGTCTTGGCAAAGGAATTTTGGAATTTTCCATGAAGATAAAAATATCATAGCAAATGGCAAAGAATTTAATGAATTGAATTTCATTCAATCAAATTGGTCAGTCTTGGTCAGAATGCTCCAATATTGCACAATTATAACAATCACACAGCAATACTTTTGATACAGAACTATACATTTTGTATTGCCTCAAAGAAATTTGTGTATTTGCTGTGCCTTGTTAAGGGTGTGGCACTTACATGTATGTGAATTTTAGACCTAGATTCTGAAGAAACCATTCAGAAAATATCCACTTGCTATCTCATTTAAAGAAAAGCTTTACTGTGTGACTACTGAGACTGGGGCCACTTATAGACCAGTTAGACATCTAAAAAAATGCGGAATGATAACAGCCATTATGTCATTTTCTCTTGTGAATAAAAAGAAATGTCGAAAGGCTTTTCTGCTGGTTTGTGATTGTATTCATTCTAGATCTTTTGTGAAAGCAAGGTGGCATAGTGCTGAGAGCACCTGCCTCTCGTTGATACAACCCAGGGCCGAGTCCTGTCAGACTCAGTCTTGTTCCCTTATGTCAAAAATCAACTCCTAAATTTGAACTTGATCATGGAACGAGGGTCACAGTTTGTTAGTTACTGGCTATTTTAAAAGTGCTACCCTCATTAAAACAAAACAAGGATTTTGATTGGTTCTCGCTGTCTAAGTGTCTGCGGTTTCAATGTTTGCACATTGATATCCAATCCAGTTAGTAACCCAGGATATTCATTGAAGAAACAATCCCTCTTCTTCCCTTCAATCCCCTTACCTCTTGTCTTAGGTGAGGTTTAAACTAATAGATACATGTTTGTAATATTTTATTCAAATAGCTAAAGCAAGTGGCTGTGTGATAAACACCTGTGGTTGGGTGACTGGATTGGGTTACAGAACATTAGTTCATGCCGCCAAGGAATTCAAAGGTAATGTAGTCAATGCTTAAATCGCTTAATTCAAGTGAACATGAAGGAAACTCAAAAACCAAAAAAACGTTTGTACTGTACTGACATCTTGGGCTTTAGTTTATTGTCTTGTTTTCATATGTGTTGCTATCTTTCTTCCCCTTTTAGTGTCCCAGTAGTGGGACTTAGCTCCATGCGGTTTCCCTGCCCATGTGGTAAATTAATGATAATAATAATAATAATAATAATAATAATAATAATAATAATAATAAATTATTCTCAGAAGGCGAAGTGAATATCCAAGAATATTTACCGAGACGCGAGTCTTCGAGCGGTGAGGTAAATATTCTCCGATATTCACTGAGGCTGCAAGGCAAATAATTGTTTTAGTATAAATACAAAGGTGATTCTTTCAAAAAAAAAAGTAGATAAAAGACATTTTTTCCGGTAACAGCAATAAAGCGGCTGGCCGCCATTTTGTTTTACCGCTGGAGGTGATAATCGTGTGATTTTCTCAACCAATCAGCATGCGAGATCCTTGATAATCACCTGTGTATTTTTACTACTACTACTACTAATAATAATAATAACTATTATTATTATTCTTATCATCATCATCATGGTTGGCCTGGTTGTACGAAGCCTGGATAGGGCTATCCCATGGATAAATCCTTATCTAGTGGATAAGTCGATGCTGTTATCCAATACATTTATCCACTGGATAATATTATTATCTGTTGGATAGCATTATCCAGGCATCATACAACCAGGCCCGGATGTATATATTCAATTCTAATAGGTTTACACTTTTTCTATTCTAGTGAATGTAATTGTGGTTCTGGACCAAGAAAGATTGTACAATGATCTAAAAAAGCAATTTTCTGATCAACTACAAATAGTTCACCTTCCCAAATCAGGAGGGGTAAGTTACTCTTCATTTCATTGTTTCCTCGTTATTTTATCTAGTTTTTATACCACTCCCAATTTATCTTGCAATGAATGAATCCAATGTACAGTATATATGTAATTACCTATAAGTTTCACTTCTCATTCATGGTTTTGGCTTAGACAATAACAAACCAATCACTGTAGCAGTTTTCACAATGGAATTAAAATCTTGTCCCACAAACAACTACACAGTATCTGTTTTAAAGAATGCTATAATGAATACAATGGAAAAAAAGCTAATATTGCTCATTAGCACTTTAGGCTGCGTTCATAATGTATGGCAGAGGGAAGGGGGGGGGGGGGGGGGGGGGGGGGGGGGGGGCAGGTGAAATTTAGTGGAGATTGAAAATATTTTTACAAGTAATATGCATGGGGGGTTTGAATTTTTTTTTCAGAGATTTGGGGGGGGGGATGCAAAATTTTTAGAAGAAGCTACGAGAGATTGCCCAGGGGGGATAGTTATTTTTGGGGGGACTTCAAGGGGGACTTCAAGCTAATATTGCTCATTAGCACTTTAGGCTGCGTTCATAATGTATGACAGAGGGGGGGCAGGTGAAATTTAGGGGAGGTTGAAAAAATGTTTACAAGTAAAATGGGGGGTTTGAAGATTTTTTTTAAAGAGAATTGGGGGG